AGAGGAGTAGCGGAAGGCGGAGCCTCTTCAAAATCGGCCGAGAAGTGCAAATTTTGCCGAACCTGTTCAACTCCATTTTGTCTTCTCTGTACTAAGCGCGCTTTTGCACACAACTTCTTGTGACAGATACGAATAAAGAGCGAGGAATTATTCTTCCAATAATCCGAGTAGTGTTCTTTTTGACGTCCCTATTCCTCTGTACGGCTCAATAGGTTATGGGCCCAGAGCCGCAACGACAAAGTGAAAAGTGCACACACGACGCTCAAGTTCCGAAAACAAATCAAAGTCGCGTAACCTCTCTATCTTTCTTTTCGACGCCGGCCCCTTAAACAATAGCGCATACAAACACCATCAATTCCACGCAGTTAGAGACACTAACTAAAGACAATTACGATACATGGGTAATACAGGCGGAAGCGCTGTTTGTTAAAAACGACAACTGATGCTATGTAAGTGGTAAAAAAATTACGTCCCCGTACCAACAAAGACGACTCGGCGTCTCAAGCCGCCATTATCGCTTGGGAGATTCAAGATCGCAAGGCAAAGTCAGATCTGATACTGATCATCAGCCCCAACGAGCTGAAATGCGATTGTTTAATCTCAAAAGATGTATGACAAGTTAAAATCCATTTACGATTCAAAAGGTTCCGCGCGCAAAGCGACGTTATTCAAACGGCTTATCCAAACGAAAATGCTGGAAAGTGAGGACATTAAGACGCACATCGCACAATTTTTCGATGCAGTCGACCAATTAGAATCCATGGATGTTAAGGTAAATGGAGATTTACTCTCTATAATGCTATTGTACAGCTTACCGAGCAGTTTCGAAAACTTCAGGAGCGCAATTGAATCTCGCGACGCGTTACCGAATGCCGAGACTTAAAAATAAAAACTCTCGAGGAGTACAAGGTGCGAAGTCAAACAATGACTGAAGAGTCAGGAGCAATGTTCGTTCATCGCGGCAAGTGTAATGTCAACACGAAGTCTCGGAAAAATGCACCGACACAACGGCACCCTCTCGTCCTAAATATAAATGTTCTTTCTGCAAAATTCCAGGGCACAAATACGCCAATTGCCGCAAAATGGAAGAAGCAGGAGGATAAAAAGGCGAACAACACGGTTGCCGAAAGTCTTTTTGTAGAAACTGCTCATTACTCGTCGAGCAAACTTTATGGATCCGCGGTGCAAAATTCATGCCTCGACAGCGGATGCACATCACATTTATTCAATAATATTCACAGAATGAAAAATCCAACGCACATAAAGAGCGACATAAAACTGGCTAACAGCGCCACTAGCTCGGTGATCGCGAAGGGAGACATAGAGTTTCTGACCAGTGTGAATAACACAAATAACAAGATTTGACTGGAAAACGCTTTACATGTTTCCATCTAAGATCCAACCTGCTCTCGGTCGCTAAAATCGTGGACAAAGGGCATCAAGTTGTGTTCGGCTCGACTCAAGCCACTGTAGAAGATCACCAAGGAAACGTCAAGCTCATCGCAAAACGTCGGGGCGACTTATACTTCCTGAAGGAACCAGTCTACAAAGCAAACATGACCGCACAGAGGACACGTTCCGACATCGAAATCTGGCACGAGAGACTCAGTCACCTCAATCAAAGCGACCTTTCGCGCATGTCAAGGACACAAGCCGCGACTGGATTCGGACTCAAGGGTTCCTCCGAAATTTTGAAATGCAAGGTATGCATGGCACAAAAATTCACAAATTCTCCCTTCCTTCCTTGTGTTCACAGAGCGCAACATCGTCTCGAGATAATATACTCTGACCTTTGTGGACCGATGTGAACCGAATCGATCGGCGGTGCACGCTACTTCATGATCCTCATCAACGACTATTCTATATGGTGTCTACTTTCTCAAACACAAGGACGAGGCGGCGGCAAAGCTCATCGAGTACAAGAAATTCGTGGAGAATCAGACCGGTCGCAAGGTGAAGGCTTTTCACACGGACAATGGAAAAGAATTCCTCAACTCTTCTATGGAACGGATCATGAAGGACACTGGCAACGACGCCTAACCGTCCCTCGTACCCCGCAATAAAACGGGATCGCCGAGCGGAAAAATAGAATCCTGAGACCGAGCGCTGTCTACTTGCGCAGTCCGGGCTACTCCTTTCATTTTGGGCCGAAGCTATCAATACTATCTGCGAAATCGCTGCACAAGCAAGAGCTTAAACAATCGCACACTTTATGAATTATGGAGGGAAGAAAAACTCAACATCAGCCATTTGCGTTCCTTCGGGTGAAAAGTAATATTTCTCAATAAAGACCCGAAATAAAGGGAAATTCGAATCCAGGGCTATCGAGGGCATGTTCGTAGATTACACGGATATCTCGGGGAGTTACCGTGTCTGAATCCCAAAGAATCGCAAAGTCATTGTTACCAGGGAATAAAATTCCTCGACGAATTTGGCAGCAGCGGCCCTCTGATCGCCACGATGCCACAGACGAAGCGAACGGGCTGCCTGACGACAACGGACAACTGAATCCAGGAACCGAAATAGGCAACCAGATTCAATCCACCAGCAGTTCGGCGGAGGATACTACAGATACCACGACAGAAGTGCGCTACGTTTCGGACTCTGATTCATATATAAGGGAGGAGCCAATCAGAGATCAAACGGTCGCACGCGGTCGAGGACGACCGCGAAAACTCTACACTGGAATGCCCGGTCGCCCGCGCAAGCTCTACCACGCAAGAAAATCGTACAGAAAAACTCGCAACGGACCGAACCGAACACGGAACCTTTGATACCCGAAGAAGAAAAGGATATCGATAACGAATGATTTGACGCGCAAGTTGCTATGTTAGCGTCCGAAATATCATTTTATCAAGCTATTTCAGGGACAGAGACGAATGGCTCGACGCAGTGTACGAGAAAATCAAATCGTTAGTGAACAACGATACATGGACGCTCGTTAACAGAAGGCCGAGCGATTGGCTGTCGAACCGTCTTGAGGAATAGGTATAAGACCAACAAGGAACTGGAGCGAAAGAAGGCGCGAATGGTGGCCAGAGGTTTCTTCTTCCAACGCCCTGGCATTGATTTCCACAACACGTTTGCTCCAGTCACGAGATTGAGCTCACTAAGGACATTAATAGCCGTCGCCGCAGAATGAGACATGCAGACCGCGCAAATAGACGTCACAATAGCCTACTTGAATGAAACAAAGGACACCATGGTTCACATAGAGAGACCTGACATGCTGCGACAGAAAAAATGCTCGAAAAAATCAACGAAGAATGATCTGGACCTAATTAAGAAGGCGAAAGCAATGTTGAATCAACTGGGAAAAGGAGAGCAGGCTCAATAAATCGCTGTATGGATTGCGACAAGAAGGTCGTTAGTGGCACGCAAGACTTGCCGCCACTCTAAAAGGATTCGGCTTGACACCGACCGTGACCAATCCGTGCATCTATCACGACAATGATAATCACGTTCTTCTGCTTATCTATGTGGGCGATATCCTGATCGCTTCTCGCGACACACACGCCATCGAGGATCTGAAGAAGAAACTCGCCAAAGTATTCACGATCAAAGACCTAGGAGACATGAAATATTGTCTTGGAATAGAAGTGTCTTGTAATAGGGAGGGAATACATCTTTCTCAGACCAGCTACATTCATGACGTTTTGAGCAAGTTTGGAATGACTAACTGCAAACCCGTGCAAAGCCCCATGGAAACCGGTCTCAAGCTACATAATATCCTGGACGACATAGTCATGAACGACCCTAAAGTTCCATATCGAAAGCTTCTGGACTCGCTGATGTACATCGCACAAGGGACACGCCCAAACATTGCTCACGCGGTAAGTGCCTTAAGTCAATGGAGCTTATGCTACAAGAAAATTCACAGGGCCTGTGCGAAAAGATACTCAGATACCTTAAAGGAACCATAAATAAAGGCTTAACCTACATCAAATGCAATAAAAATCTCACCGGATACACGGATGCTGATTGAGAAAATTGTGGACTCGACCGCAGATCTTATACCGGAACTGTCTTTTTATTGTCTAACGCCGCTATATCGTGGGAATCAAGAAAACAAAGAACCGTGACTCTATCATCTGCTGAAACCGAGTATACCGCATTCAGTGATGCCGTGAAGTAAACCATCTATCTATTCAGATTCCTGATGGAGATAGGCTTCTCGTCGTTGTCGAGAATATCGTTGCATCATGACACAATCAGGGGTCGGAAAGCTGGCTGTCAATCTGATGTTTCATTCTCGCTCCAAGCACATCGATCATATGTCGTTTATCAAGCAAGCCTTAATTAAACATCGGATTGATCTTGCATACACCCCGACGGAGAAGATGATGGCTGACAAAGGCATTACCCAGCTGCAAACTTCAGTTCTGTGTTAACGAAATAAGAATCAACGAAGGACTTCTTGTGTTGAAATTTGAGGGAGGGTGTTGTAATACTGCAAATTATCCATCGCTCGCTAGGGATGTCCAGATGTGGCGACATGAGGATGACTCATTGAATCGCTCTTTTATACTGTCTGAATAACGCATGTTCTTTATCTCCTCTATCAACCATTTCTCTGTACTAAGCGCGCCTTTATTTTTTGCACACAACTTCTTGTGACAGATACGAATCGATAAGGAGCGAGTAATTATTCTTCCAATAATCCGAGTAGTGTTCTTTTCGACGTCCCTATTCCTCTGTGCGACTCAACAATATTCATACATGAAACATTTTTTACCGGGACATAAATAATAATTTTAAAATTAAAATAATATTTCATTATTACTCGGGAAAAAATGTTTTATACAATATATAATTATATATGTATATAATTATATAAAATTTTTTTTTTAAAGGTATAATTAATAACATAAAATTGTTATATTGTTACTTTATTAAAAAACTTATAAATTAAAAAAAGTTAAAAAAATTAAAATTTTCATTTGTTACACGTAAAATATATTTTTGTAATACATAATTTGTATTAAATTATATAGTCTTACCACAGGCAATTCTCCAAGTATAATTTAATATATGTTCTACATAAATAATTTCATTTTTATTTAATCCAACTTTCTCTAATTTACATGTAAGTGCTAAAGATTGTTCAACAAACGTATTAAAAAAACTTTTTATCATAAATGAACTAAATGTTGGTGCAGTCATTATTCTCAATCGACTCCACATGGATTCTGAAAAAAATATTATAACGAAAAAAATATTATAATATAAAAATATAATAAGCAATATCATAATAATAAAAAGAGATATAATGTACCTACATATAAATACTTACGACGAAGAATGTTCCAAGAAATTGATGGCGTTATTAAAGTTTAATATCATTAAATAATATTAGGAAATATAATTAATATAAATAAAATGTAATATAAAAGTATATTAATGAAAATAATAAGTAAATACAAAGGATCAGTGAAATTAAAATTTATTAAAAGCAATACCTAGATCATGATTCTATACATGTAGATATGCTTATGTTAATATATAATAATTTATTAAAACAATAAAAATACTACAACGTTTCGACTATAAAATCAAGTTATATTAGTGTAAAATTAATCAATAAATATATAAATTAATGATATAAGCAAACATAAATTATAACTATTATAGAAAGTCTTTCGCAAGTAAAAGTGCAACAAAAAATGTCAGTTACATTTGTGAAAAATCCATTCGCATATAATTCGCAATGAGACAACCGGATTGTAAGTCGATTTTCTAATAATTATTCTTTACAATCCGGTTTTTCCATTGCGAATCACTATTATGTGGATAGATTTTCAAACATGTAATTATTTCCTTTTGCATTTTTACTTGATAACAACTGCGTTTTACTTTTTGTAAATATGTTTGCTTATATCTATATTATGCTTATATACATATGTATATAAATTTATATAAGGTAACCGGGCCCAATTTGGGCTGTTTTCATAGATTTCTATAAATAGATTGCAAACTTCATCTTCATGTTTAAAGATAGCGTTGGACAGCGCTATATTTGTGTTCACTCATTCCCACATAGATAAATTGCACGAATGATAATGTTAGTGTTTTTACATAAATTATGCGATAACTCACAGACAGGACGCATACATACGCTTACGAGAATTAAAACAAGGACAACTCAGAATCAGATTCATCTCTTTCTATCACATTGAGTCAGCAGTCTATTTATATAAGTCTATGATAATTTCCCAAAGTGGACCACACGCTGTTTGTATGCATATAATTATATGATTAATTTAACAGTAGTAATTCGAGCAAGCGATCCGTACGACTCGATTGCATTGATACATTAATCATATTATTCTGTTTGTATAAAAATAGGAAAAACTGATACGTCGTGATCGTGATGTAATATTCCGTAAGTAATTACTTTTAAAGTTCGACCGAAATTTCAGTTTCGGTTTCGGTCAAAATTTCAGGTTTCGATTTGATTTCGGTTTCGGCCGATATTAAGAAACAAATTTTGGTGGGTAAACCGAAACTATACAAGTTGCAACGCGCCAGTAAGCATTCAAAAAAACAACTGTTTAATTTTAATTATTAACTCATTGATTAAGCTTAAAACAATTTGAGTACAAACTTTGATGTGATCCTAATGATAACTGTCTGATTTGATTTCTTTAAAAGTTGAGAACGCAATATTATTATAATATTATAGTTAGATATTTTAATAAAATCTTGTTTTTTAAAAAGTACAGAAAGTCATGATTTCTGAGAATTATACGATCTCTGTAAAATTAATCCAAAAATGTCGATTTATTCAAACCGAAAAAAATGTGACTCCGTTAGTTCCCCTTTGTCTCTTTTTTTTGTAAAACTTATGTAAGTTTCGATTTCGGTTTCATTTTCGGCCGAAATTGAATGACAATCGAATATTCGTTTTCGGTTTCGGGAAGTCAAAATGTGGTTTCGGTCGGACTTTAATTTCATTCTATAATTATAAAAACGTGGTTATTAATTTCTATAATTCATATTATTGTAATTTTATATTCATACTTCATAACATTATATTTAAGGTAAATGTCCCAGTAACCGGACGTTTAAGCGTAGATTGTCATAAATAATACAATTTATAAGATAGATATTAGAAAGGTTTTTAATATAAATATTTGTATTCTGAATATTGAAAAAAAATATGAGACGTATTCATATTTATATTTATATTGATACATATAGAGTTAAAAGAAAAATAGCAGCGCATTTGGAACACCTTAGCAAAATATGTACCCAATGAGCCGCATATATTAGGTTAAGTAAAAAGTCATCGCGTTTTTTTAAAAGACATCTATCAGTAAAAACCGCAATTACTTTCTTACCAACAATATAAATATATCTTGATAGAGTAAAGTTTCAGCTTTAAAAATCTCTTTTTTAAATTATACGATACGACAATTTTTAATGGAGTTATGAGCAATTAAAGTCAAAATAATTCTTTTATTTAATCCGCGATAACTCAGTAATCAAAAGTCGTAGGAATATTTAAAAAAAACGATTTTGTAGGGAAAGTATCAAGCTTTCACGATAGGTAATCGAAAATTTTCTCAAATTCGTTTTGGACACGTTACAAATCCACAAAGTGAGAAGAAAATTTTTCGTCTTTTTCAGCTCGTAGTTTTTGGTATGTAAAAATTATCAAACTCATATAAACTTAAAAAATGTGATAAGCTTTTAAAAGTAGAGATTTCAAGCTTTAAAACCCTTTTTTAAAATTTGAATTTCATTCATTATTGACGAAGATATTGTATATACAACTTTGAGCTAAAAAATACGCGATGACTTTTTACTTAATCTAATATGTCTTCTCTTTTTCATATACAAATATTAAAAATATGAAAAATAAAGTAATTCAATGTTATTTTTATAATAAACAATAAATAACAAGAAGAGACTACACATTAGATTTTAGTATTTCAAATTCTTAGAACATACGTTTCGACCTTATTATAATATTAGGTCATCCTCAGTGTAAAGAAATTAAACGCAAATTTGACAAGATTAATAAAACGGTTAAAATTATACAATTTATAGTCACGCAAAAAGTTGATAGCATTTATTCTATATATCTTCCGCACAATGCAATGCTTTTCGTTCTGGTAATATTATCGATTACATTCTTCCACATTATAACAATCGCAATAATGATAAAAACATTAAACATGATGAGTCATTAAATAAAAATGTACCAGCACACGTTCTGTTATCAAATTAATAAAAATTAATATTAGATCATAAAAATTAAAATAATAATGAATAAATGATCATTATATACAAAATTATTAGTATATACAATCCTTACTTTAATAGGCAACTATATTAAAGTGTGTGTTAATAAATAAAATTATTGTACATATACCTCAATTGCGATTGGTAAATCAGGATATAATCAATAATTGAAACAATGTCTCAATTTAATTCGCAAAAAGCAAATGCGATCAGAGATAAAAATTGAAATCAGTTCAGTCAAATTGTTTGTATTGTATTATCAAGTGTGACCGACTTTCTATTGTTTTATATTATCTTGTTAAGAGAGGGGATAAAAAAGGGAATAGAGATAGGAAAGAAACAAAGAAAAAAGGAAGGAAAGAAAAAACTAGGAGGAAAAAGGAGGCTGTAAAATTTAGATAGATAAGAATTAGGTAATGCTTCCGTGTCGTTTTATTTGTTCAATCTCAATTTTTGTAATTTAATGTGAACCATTTCGGAGATCAATCTTTTATTGTACGACAGTTCCTTGTCTAAGATCTTTACATCTTTCCAATTAAAATTATGATTAATACGATAGTCATAAGGATAGAAAGTATAAAAAACTATTAATTAAAAATACAATTACTCTTAGAGGATAACCAGACTTATGGATTTTAGATAAACCATGTGTTCTAAATAAATTACCATCCGTCGTAAGTAATTTCCTAAATGTGAAATCATCAATAAAGCCACTAAACTAACTGCCTAAACTAACTAAAGCCATAACTAATAGAAAAACCGTTAGAATCATTGTTAAAATTTGAACAAGAATATGAGATAGGTTTAATTTTTTATTTTATTTATTTTAAATTTTTAAATTATAATCAGTTTATTGTTTTATTAATTTTGTTCATTTGTTTGTGGAAATAGGAATTATTTAATTTATCTTGATATATAAAGAACTCACTAGCTGTGGAAAACGATAAAATATTTGACATTTTGTCAGTAATTTTAAAAATATTATTTCTAGTAGAATTTAAATGTTGATATGCATCCTTTAACTCTCTCTAATTGCAATATTGCCTTTACATTATTAAGCTGAATATTCTCAAATCTTTTGTAGTAATTATTATTATACAATGAAATATTATTATTAAATTTTATTATGCAATACAAATGCGGTGGAACTATGTTAGATTTAAGACAATTCTTTAAAAACTTTATACGTACTCTGCTGACATTCAGTTTAACTAAATTGCATGATTTCTTTAATAATTTACAAATATTATTATCAAATTTGGTTCTGATAAAAGAAAAAGTAAACATAGAATAGTTGCAATTATAACGCTTCATCTCTCCCGTATATATTAAATAAAAATAATCTTATAATGGCTCAATAATAATAAACAATAAATAATAAGAAGGGGCTACAAGCCAGGTTTTTATGTATTTCAAATTCTTAAAATATATGTTTCGACCTTATTATTAGGTCATCCTCAAATTATAAAGAAATTAAACGCAAAATTTGACAAAATTTGACAATGTCAAATTTGCGTTTAATTTCTTTACACTGAGGATGACCTAATAATAAGGTCGAAACGTATGTTCTAAGAATTTGAAATACTAAAATCTAATGTGTAGTCTCTTCTTGTTATTTATTGTTTATTATAAAAATAACATTGAATTACTTTATTTTTCATATTTTTAATATTTTTATATGAAAAAGAGAAGACATATATGCGACTCATTGGGTACATATTTTGCTAAGGTGTTCCAAATGCGCCGCTATTTTTCTTTTAACTCTATATGTATCAATATAAATATATGAATACGTCTCATTTTTGTTTTCAATATTCAGAAATATTCCCTCTTTTAAATTTAGCCATTAATTTTTAATTGATTTTTTGACTTTAGCCAAAAATTAAAAAATTCTTGAAGCTTAGGAGGCTCACACTGGACCCAGTTACCTTATTTATTAATTGATTTTACACTAAAGACGATGTAATATTATAGCTGAAACGTTTATTACATATTTGTTTTTTAATAAAAGAATTTTGGAGTTTATGTATTTTAAGCGATTTGAGAAATACGCAGAGATCGTTTGGGTTCATTATTTTTCTTATTTAATTTTATTTACTAAATTCGAAAATCGTGATTAAAATTGTCCTAATATTCGAAAAATATTTTGTTTATCTTGGACGGGAGACAGCAACAGTTAATTTTTATTATTTTATTAAACCATATTTCCGAACTTTTCTTTGTTTTTATATAAAAATTATTTTTTAAACTATTAATTTTTTGAAAATCGTATCCTAATACTTTTTAAACAGGATAAAAATATGAATCAATTGGTGTAAAGAAAACACATAGTTGCTTAAAAAAAAATGTGTAGATGAAATGATACTTTTTGAAATAAATCACTATGTTTGCTACAATTATCAAAAAATTAATAATTTACGATATATTTAACATTTTATGGCACCATAAAAATATTACCCCATAAACTAATGATTTTTTATATCTCTATCTTAATACTTTTATATGCAGAATAATTACAAAAATAATAATATATCGCACTAAAAAAATTACATAATTGGAAAAAATCGGAAAAAATTGATTATATTGAATAAATACTATCCTGTACAGTGCAAATAAAGAGTCATGACTTTAATAATAATTTATTTTTATGAAAAAAAAATTTTTATATAAAAACAAAGAGAAAATCGTAGTTTCAACAAAGTAATAAAATCAGCCGTTGCTTTCTCCATTGAAGATGAAAAAAAAATTTCCTAAATACTAGGAGAATTTTAATCACCATTATTTAATTTAATAAAAAGTAAAATTAAGTAAGAAAATGAATGAATTCAACTATGTCTGCGTACTTCTCAAATCGCTTAAAATACATAAACTCCTTTTATTTACTTTTTAAATTAATAATAAAGACAAATAATTAGTTAAAAAGTTACAAAAAGCAAATAGTCTAATATTTTATTCTTTTATATATATCTTACCAGAAATAAGCAATGATTCCATGCCAAATGCTGGTTGAACAAATTTATAGAAGATACTTTTATTCATGCAATTTCTACTGTGTAAGATAGTCTGCAATGTTATAAATCATTGATTTTTATTTGTGATAGTACGCGCGCTTTTCTTTCGTTCAAGTGACTCTCTCTAACATATAAATATTTCATCAATTTTTAAACTAATTTGTAATTAATTGACATAAAATGTAATATTAAGATTATATTAAGATTATGTTAGAATGAATGATCTTTTTTTACTTTCGCTTCGTCTGGTTTATATACCGCAATGAATAACTTGCTGCCCATCCAAACTTGACAAAGAGAAGGATAATCTTTTGAGAAATCATGTATAGTTTTTATAATATCTAAAAATTTTAATTTAATTTAGAGATGTTTTTATTTTGAGACTACTTATTTATGTTATTATATTATGATAAAAATGGATATTATATATTTTAATTATAACATATGCATTATATTTACAATATGTTTAAAACTTTTATGAATATTTATGTGTTTATATACATGCACATGATTCTACATCAAGTCAGATAGCAATAAGTAGAAACTTCTTATTCTTTTGGATTTTTATATTATACTTGTATTCTACTTCTTAAATTATTTAGGATAAAAGCTCGATGATTAATCATTTCAAAACACTCTTATAAAGTATCAGGTACAATGCGAGGAAATAGCGATAGCGATTTACACTGAGAGAAATGTTTTGTATCAATAACCAAAGTTTTTTACTGATACAAAATGTGTTGAACAAAATTTATTGATATATGACCAATCAAACCGTTGATTATCACGACAACATTAATTTGTTAAATTTATTAATAATTAATGAATTAACAATTTAATAGTACAAAACTGTTTTGTATGATATTTATAGATTCTTTGTAGTTAGAAATAGAACATTTTGTTATCGGAACAAAACGAATAATATATACTAATATATATCTTACTTTCTACAAAGTAGAATTATGTTTGACGTTTTTGAATTTCCTTAGCTTAGCAAAAATAAATATAGATTTAAAGCAATTGAGATTACTACACTTTGAAAAAATAGTTACCATGATTGATCATGGTGTGGCGAGGACCGAGAAGTCTATGAGATTAGTCTCTAATCATCTCGATTTTACATGTAGACGTTGAATTTCTTACAAGAAGACGCTATCTTCTCTCTACCTCTGATAGCTCTGCGAAACGCTCCTTGTTCTACCATAATGGATCATTTTGTTGAAATTACTAAAAAAATATTTATTTTGTAATGGCAACTAAATTTTACATTGTTATTTACAAAACGTAAGTAATCAAATAAATTTATATTGTTAAAAAAAAATATTTTGTTTATCTAACAAAAAAATATTGAATATTAAAAAAATATTGTATTTTATTATTTTAACAAAATAATCCAATGATAATCGGCCATTTGTGAATAATTCTCTTTTTTATTACCATTACTGTATCTTTTTTTTCAGTGTAGAAATTACGCGATTTCAATCTATCAGAAACTGTATTCGATTTCTGATAGATTGAAATCGTGTTATTTCTATTGCTATTCCCTCGCATTGTGTCTGGGACTTCACTGTATATGTATCTGGATAACGTTACAAAAAATTAAACATTATTAATATCATTTATTTCAATACTATCTTTTTCCTCACCTATTTTATTATTACAAATAGAGTAAGTATAACAAATTATGCATTTCAATTACTACACATGCCAACACTCTTGTTACTTATAATACATTTATGTTTCGGAATACTTATAAAAAAACATTTGATTAAATTATTTAGATATATTTGAATTCTGCTGATATTATTTGTTACATATCTGATTTTATATATAATTTTACACTAAGTTTATATTTTTTTTACAAATATCACTTGATTTTAGTGAAATAATATCTTATAATATCTTAGCAATTAATTTGACGGAAAAATAATAATTTATGCATATATACATGTTAAATGCATATATACATTTTAACTTTTAGTTATTATTTAACATAATAAAATATTGATATAAAAAATTTGTTAGGCATGAATATGTATAAATATCTATAAACATACATAAACACATATAAATATTTATAAACATATATACCTAATTATATATGAAATATGTTCATACATGTTCTTACAATCCTCTTTCTTTTGCAAAATTACTTTTTAGTGTAATATAAATAATAATAGTAATATGAAACCATAATTCTATAATTAAAAGAATAATTTTCGCATTGTTGTTTAAGAAAAAATCAAATTTGAAAAAACATAAAAATTCGTACACAATTATGCATAATTTTATAATATATAATTACACATAAGTAATTTTTTTTACATTTCTTTAAACTTGATTTTTTTCTAAAACAAATAATGCAAAAATAAATAGTGCGAAAATTACCTTTTTAATTTTTAATGTTTTCACATTACTATTATTATTTCTGATACACTATAAAAGTAATTTTACAAAAAAAAAAAGAATGTATGCCTATATTTTACGTAAAATTATGTATAAATATTTATGAATATTTATACATGTTTATGTATATTTATACACATATTTACACATATTTATGCATGACAAATTTTTTACCATAGATAATTTAATTTAATTATAATTAATTTTATTTTAGATTTCTTATACTTTAAAAGTGTGATGTTTGTCAAAATTATATTTACATAATTATATTAAATTTATATTTATCACTTAAGTTCATGTAATAATACAGATATAAAATATGAATAGATATATGAACATATGATAGCAACAGAATTTAAATTTAATTAAATGTTTTTATGCTATCTTTTAGATTCTGTGTTAATTTGAAAATATTATTATTTGTTCTTACCTTTCTTTAAAAGAAAATGATAAAAGCTGCCAATAAGTGGCAATGCTTTTGGTCCTGGTAAAGTATTCAGTTTTTTAATAAAAAATATTTTTTGGTAATAATTCCAAAAAAAATAACTTATAGCAACAATTGCCAAATAAATCAAAATACTATTTCCAAACATTATATTAAGCAATAATTAATGCAAAATATCAACTTGATATTAATCTTTATATCGTATTCAATTCTATGTCAAAATGAGGATATCGCTAACTGGGCAATGCTTTTATTATACATCCCCACTTAAGTTAATCCAGTAAACAGGTAATGCAACAAAATTAATTTGTCACTTATTGTAATTATGTAAATATGTAACATAAAATTATATAACACATAACACGTAATTAAAATGTTGTAAAAGAAAAAGATAATGACAACGCTCGGTCTTACATCACAAAAACTTATCAAGAAAATATTAGAAGCACTTCGCTGGAAGTGCTGTCCCATGTGGTTTATTCACCAAACTGTGCCCCTTTCATTTATTTCGGTCGATGGAACACGTACTTGCTGAGGAAAGCTTCAATTTTTATGAAGACGTCGAAAAATGGGTTTCTGACTGGATAGCCTCCAGTCCAGATGAACCATTCTTTTGCTGTGAAATTCGCTTGCTACCCGAAAGATGGGAAAAAGTCATCGCTAACGATGGACAATATTTTGATTAATGTACTTTTTTATTTCTTAAATAAATACGTACTTTTTGCAAAAAACGGACGGAACTTTCCGACCTAAATTCTCATTTTAAAAGTGATAATATGATAAATCTCATTTTATTTTTGTATAAACTTTTATATTTTAATTATATTCAAATCTATAATATTGCAAATGACCATAGAGTTGCAATATTATTTTTATACATTAAAATTGAATACAAGATAAATTTACAACGAAATATTATTAAGCACTGAAATGCAGACCGATTACGACATTTTTCTTTATTAGTTCTTATACAGCAGATCTCCAAAAGACATTCTAAAGACTTTTTTCTCTATGTGTTCTGCACATCCTAAGGATGTTCCTAGGATGTCTTTCTAATAAAATGTGCTGTATGGGTATTGTGTATTTACATTGCTCTAATGTCATTTATTGTTGTTTAAATAGAAAACAATTATTTAAATGAAGAAAATTATTATGACGTACGTGAATATCTGTAGGATGTAAAGAAAAAGTGCCTACCTTCCTATATTTTTACTTTAAATCTTTCAGATCTATTTGATCTAATGCTGGAATTTATGAACACTTCCAAATATGTTATCAGATTTATAAATTTCTAAATTTTTTTACGAATAGATTTAAATGGACCGTAAAGGTAAAATGGCCCATTTATTAAATCTTGTTAATATTAAATATCTTTATCTGCTGAATAAATATAAAATTAGCTTTCTTTTTGTTACTTTTCAACTTTTAAAAGTTATTATAACATAAGACTATCATGAGTTATTTATAAAAGAAAATGTCCAATTCTTACAAATAGATCTCACAATCCAATTCCTTAGTGTTATATTTTGAATAGTTATAAGATTGCAAAACATAATATTCTTAAATTTTTCTGAAAGTTCCATTCTGATTATTTGGAAGTAATATTTCATCAGTTAAATCCAAAATAGAATTTTTTATGCAGATAAATAAAAATAAAAATGTTAATATTGTCACATATGAAATAAAGAGGACTAATTTAAATGAGGTAAATTTGTGCGCTAAATTTTGTAGTTATTAACATAAAATAAATAAATAATTTCAAACGTGTAGACCTTTAATAACGATTTTCTTTAGTGAAAGTAATAGATTCCCGATAAAAACTTTTTTATGTATGAATATACACATAAATATGTATAAACATACCTAATATGCATAAATATTTATAAACATATATAAATTATACATGAAATATATCAATACATCTTTTATTACTTAAAATTTTATTACGTAAAATTATTTTTTAGTATATTAAAAATAATAATAATATTGAGAAAACATCAAAAATAATTAATGAGAATTTCCGCATTATTTTTCTTTTAAAAAAAATTAAATTTGAAAAAATGCAAAAAATACATAACTATGTATAATTTTACAATACATATAATTATATATGAGCAATTCTTTTACATTTTTCTAAATTTTATTTTTTCTAAAACAGACAAGGCAATTGTTGATTGTTAATGAGCAAATCGTGCCAATTGTGATGTCAATTATTTTACAACTTCGATACTTATAAATTAAACTAAAAATTAAAGACAAAATATATTACTTAGATACATAATAGACATAATTTTAAAAAAGACTTAGAATAACAGCAGGAGCTCACATCATCTTTTCCTCTACAACTGTTACATTAATCTAAATATCATAAAATACTGTTAACAAAAGGCAAATTCAAAACGTGGTTACACACATACAGTACGCAAAAATATTTAAACACATAAAAATTATTAAATATTATAATAGAAAACAAAACATATACTTCTCTTAACGTTTCGACACATTATATTTTAATAATGTATAAAATGCATGTTATCTGTATAAAAAACTCATCTGTCAAGGCAGGCAACTTTTTATTTAAGAAGATATATTTAATTTGGAGACTATTCAGAAACTAATCAGAACATAGAAATTAATTGAACATAGAAACTACTTAAGATCAGCAGCTACAAAAATAATATAAATAATACAATAATATAGGATAATTATGTGTAAAGTCCATAAATTATACGAAATAAAAATGGTACAAGGAAGAATAATATGTAAGAGCATAAAATGAGCCAGTGATTACGTCTAGTTATAAAAGTCAACTTAAATTATATTATATAGCAATTATATAAATTATTGAAATGTTTTATATAATTGCCATAGAAATTATTACGTTATAATAATAAGTAAACGGGCAAAGTAAGAGTCAACACATTTCTTTGAAATTAACAAAAATTATATTATAATTAACAGAGGTAAAATTACATAACGCAAAAATTAGAATCGAAATTACGAAAATGATTACAAGTTACAAGTTTCGGCTACCGGATCGAGCCCTCTTTAGAAATTAACATAACGAAAAAATCGCAGAATGAAATCAATTATCGCAAATGATCGCATATGGGTAATTCTTTTACAAACCGAACGGATTTTGATGAAAATTAATCGGCACCTCTTCGATTTGACTGAAACTTTTTTTACGGATTCTATGTCGAAAAAAAAGAGATACGTGCCGAGGAATTTTTTTTTATTTGCATATTTTCGATAATACAAGTGATCGAACATTTGAGAATGGCAAGTTTTTTGGCTTGGAGACTCATTTTCATAAATCCATAGGTCCGAATCTTTAAGAGCTACAAAATTTTCACCAATTGCACTTTTGTAGCTGAAGGACTGAACTGTAAGAAAAAA